AATATTTGCAGAAAAGTCAGAAAAAAGCATATATCACATCTCACATATTTCAAAACAACCACAGAGCTCTGACTGTTGAGCCATGTTTGCATGAACTTAATGATGCACAAGTATGCTGATATGTTTATGTGCCATACAAACATAACTTGAATATGTGGGGGAAATCTTCAAAGTTTGAAGTAAACATGAAAGAAATTTTAAAAATTTTCAGTTTTAAGGTTATAAATTTAATTCAATGAGCAGTTTTACTTTCCTTTATCTATAAATGGAAACATTTCATCATATAAATTTAAAAAGCAAAAACTTCTATTCATAAAGTCTGTGTAAAATTCGGGTGCTGAAATAAGGAAACTTTGAGATGTTTGAAGCGCCCTATGAAATGAACACAACATGTTTAACATGAACATTTGTCTTGAAATGAAATTAATATTAAATCGACTCAAAGTGATGTTGCTGCAGAAACTGTAATTTCTGTATTTATTTTCATCTAACTACATACTGTATTTCAGCTTTCGTACTTTTAGTTTACAAGGCCTCTTAAAATTTGAATATTGCTAGATACAAATATGGACATTGTCTGTAAATTTTAAGTTCTTGCTCATCTCTTCAAAACACAGTACAGAAGGATTTGGTCTCTAGTAGGAGATACACATTGCAAACCAGAACTGCACTGGGCAGTGAGTCCTAGTGGCCACGAGCTGCGCACATGCATTTGCAATCTGGGCTCTCACTCTCGATGCAGAGCAGGTCTCCAGTGTAACAAAGCTGAAGAATGAATGAGATTAAAATATGCTGCTTAAAACATGTTCTCTACAGATTGGAAGAAGATAAAAATAGTCCTTTTTTTTCTCCTCCAGGGATACTGGTAAGAATCCCCTGATAGGAACTAAATGAATAATCTATTTAAAAAGTATCTGAAGAACTTATTAGAACCAATATAGTTAATGCACTTATAGAGAAGTAAAAGTGCTTTTAAGGTATTACGTGGATAATTTTATTTTCAGAAAAATCATTACACGGTATTCAAAGTAAGGACTCTACTTCTAAAACATGTAATTGGTCAGAATATTTCCATTAACTTCTGTCTTTGATTATCTGACATAATATTGGCATATAAAGGCAAAGCTGCTTTTCCAAGTGGAGCTGGCCTGGTGGGCTCACGCTTGGTGATTCTCAGTGATTACAAGTGCCTAAGAATAAAAATAATCTGTCACTCCAACATCCCCACGGCTCCCGTGACCTTCCACGCGGAGGCCACACCTCCGCATGCTCATGTCCAGCTTGGACAGAAGGGACAGAAGACCTGCTCTGGGCAGCCTCTCCGAGCACGGATGGCTGTGTGGCCCAACAGTGCAGCTGGGAGTAGGAAACAAATGGTTTTCACTCCTGGGCATTCCTGTATTCTAAGATAGGGCTGGAATCAAAGTTGTTTGACCAAGTGAAGAACCTCAAAATGATGGAGGCTATTTAAAAGACAAACAAGCAAAAAGGACAGCAGGAAGCTAAATGAAACTATTAAAATTCCTCAAGACTAAGTCAGTCATTAGAAAATACATCTACCTTTGAAGACACTGGGCCATTCACGATTCAAATTTAGGGAGTGCAATATTTGAATTTGGGGATGGTAATTTTCAAATTCTCTCTCACTGTGATTCTGCTAACAGTGCCTTCTGGCTGTTCATTCAGAGTTTTCACATGATCTGAATTGTTCCCTATGACACCTTTATCTTCCCTTTTGCCTGAAGACCAAATTTTGTTACTATGGTAATTTGGTCCCTCTCCCTTGCCCCCTACTTCTCTTTCCTTCACTCTATGTGTTTTCTTTATTATATAATCATGATATAGACGGGCAGAGAGGAAGACGTGCCAGCCGCGTATCCAGACGAGGGCTCTGCGATCTCACTCTCATTTCCCTAATGGCTTCATTGTAATTAGATTTGCAGAAACAGCAAAAGGTCTCATTTTGAATGGCAACAGCTGTTGACATCAACATTATATTGAATAATTTACTGGTTTAATTTTAGCTGCAAAACAATAAAACCCTCTCGTGGAGGAGTTCAGCAGGCAACCTCTTCTCTTCCTGTTGCTGACTCCTCCTTCTGCCCCAAGCAGGACCAGTTGTTTCTTCTGTGAAACTGTTTCAACTCAAGTGTTCCAAACACTCTCAAGGGGAGCCCTTGATTACTTCTAGTTTCCTTGAAAGAAGTGTCTGTCCACGTGACTATTTCATCCTCCTCAATCTGTGGGCTCAGGTGTCAACCAAAGTGTTGGCAGGTAGGCGCTGGAAGGTGAACTTGAATTTGCATAGCAGGTCATTGCTTTACCTTCTGAGGCTCTGCTGCCTCACTGAGTGACTCAGGCTGACTTCTTGACTTGCTGAACATTGGAGCAGCTTCTGGGAAGTGATCTTTCTTGGCAGAAAATCATCCTGCTTGCTTAACTTCTTCTGTAACCTCTTACATCTAGCCCCTAATCTGGCTCTCTATGGACCTTCTTACTACTTGCCAGATACAAAGTACTCAAGATGACTCTCAGCAAGTGTGCATACAGATATGTGTGTGTGTGTGTGTGTGTGTGTGTGTGTGCGTGTGTGTGTGTACATGTACCCATGCATGCAGGCACTCAACATGGAGAGAAAGTTTTGTAGACAGAAGGATAACAGTGTGGGCAAACTGTGTGGAGAGAAGAGAATAATACTATATATTATGATATATTTGTTTTCTTTAGAAAAATAGTTCTTGGAATATCCTAAATAAGTAAAGTTGCTTATTTTTTAATAAATTCAGTGCTTTTCTTCTTTGTGCATTATTTAACTGATCAATATGACAATCTGCTTAGTATACATTGTATAACACATCCTCTTGAAAGATAGAAAAACATGTACCAATCTTTGGATGGTCCTACTACAAAGACATTCTATGTTTGAGAAAAATATGCAAAGTTACTTTTATAGATGGCATTATTTTATGACTCCGCATACCACTAAGTCCCTCCTTTATCCTGCCATTGGTCTGCATGCAGACTTTGTTGAAGGATTCCAATACAGGCTATATCAAAGAGAAATGTCCTGACTTTAAGCTGACTTTGACAAGAAAGAAACAGAAAACTTGTTAAATATTTAATAAACACAAACTTCAAAAGTTTGATTACTTTTTTGCCTGAATCTGTGGTACAATTTGGAAGAATTTCTATTCTGAATCCATAGTACACGGGTCATGAATTTTACAAAGATATCATAGAATAGTGAGAGGTAAATGTCAAACAAATACTCCAGAAAGTAAAATGTTGATTCTCTTCAATTTTTCTTAATACCAACGTATCAACTATAAAAATGAATCAAGTTTTGCAACAATTGTCTGAAATTAGGAGACAATATCAGAGACAAAGATTCCTGTGTATGCCTGTCAACCGTCAACAGGTGCAAGGCGGAGCTCCCGACCAGCAAGGCTGCTTACCCTTGGGTGCAGTTCGGGTGGCAGGGACGGCACTCCCGATCCTGGTCTGCGTACTTGAAAATGAAACTGCTTGCCCCCTGTAGGCCATCTGGACACTTCTCCACGCAGTTCGGGCCGTCCTTAAAATGAGAGCACTTTGTGCAGTTGTCAGGTCCCTGCAATGTGAAAAAAAGATTGAGGAAAAGAAAATTAGACTTTCTTTCTTCTGAAAATATTCATGTATTCAGTTACTGAGACTTTAGTGGGTGGCAAAGACATTGTCTTCTAGAAAGAACCCTTGCAGCAATAAAAATGTGGAGAAATCTACTGCGGTAAAATTAGCAGTTTTGCAGCCCTGGATGTGAGTGAAATATGTTCTCGGAATATTTTCCTTTATGAAATCTGCAGCCCCTAGCTTAATTGATTTCCATATCATGCCTCTAGTGTGAATTAATTCGATCAGCACAATTGTTCAATGACTTTACCAAAATGAGGCCAGTATCATCTTGTTATTCTTTCCTGGTGAAAGGATACTAGAATGATACTTGGCATTCACACACTTTCTGTGGGAAGTACTCCACTACCATCACTGCAAACAAGGAATAATCTTACTAAGTAGTTAACAAAAAACAGATACAATGGGAATTAGACAACACTATATTTTGTACGATTGGAGTATAAATTTTATGTTGGCTATAGAGTGGCTTTCATTGGAACATAGATTTTAAAACTTACCATGATTAATTATGAGGAATTAGGCAGTTTGAGTATATAAAAATAATTCCTAGGTAATACTTTAATTCAAATTACCTTGTACGAGTGCCAAAATCATATCCTGTCTATGTACTTGAATTTTGGTATACCGCAGAACGCTGCTGAGAGCTATAATTACAGATTCTGATAGACAAATGTCAAAACTTCCAGAATAATGAGAGTATATGGAAAAACTTATCCCATGATGAAGATGATATAAATATGAGTATGATCAAATACAATTAACTCATTTTATATATTTATGTTTCTAATATATACTAATGTATATTTTAATATACATAAAGTTAACAAGCAATAATGATATAAAGATTTATTTAAAAGTACATACAACAATATCATTAAAAAACTAATGTGAAATACCTAAGAATTTTACAAAACAAAAGCAGTTTGTATCTCAGGCAGTGCATTATAAGCACACAGGAAATGATAATTAAAGAAACTGGAGAATGCTTTTATCTAAATGCTATTTCACTTAAGAGGTGCTCACATTTTGATACTTCACCTATTTCAAATATCACCTTCTAGAATTCTTTTACAATACCACATTGTCTCAAGGTTTTAAAATAATAATAACCCTCTGATCACCTCTCCCTGAAACATTGTCCACTGACTGGCTCTCCCATCATGCATCTGTGTCTACAGAGCTCATCAATTTTACCAGTTTATATTGAAGACAACGGAGAGAAACAGCACATAATAAAAACATAGAGAAATACTTCTATTAGGTTTTCTAGTTAAGAACACTGATTTTGGGAGCTATTAGCACACATGCAGAACTGCTTAACAGGTAGGGACTGTGGAGCTCAGGTTAGCTCTTAGAAGTGATTTCTATTCCTGTTCAAATCAGCCAGAAATTACAAATTGGACCAGGAAAGCAAGGCTTAAACTATTTTAAAACTAAAAACTTGGCATTGCAAATTTAAAATAGTGGTGTAAGGAAGAAAAGAGGATAAGAAAAGATAAAAAAGAGGCTAAGAAAAGTCCTGAGCCTTCTTGAGGTGTAATCCCCCAGCTGTTTGTGTTACTATTCTGATGTAAGGCTTAGAACTAAGAAAAAGAATTAAAATTAAACTATGAAATCTAATCCCTACTGTATTTGAAGAGTTCACTGATGGTATCTTTTTATTTTCTCCCCCAAAAAGGAGAAAATAAAAAACTTTACATGCTTCCAATTTTAACACCTGCTCCTGGGTACTTTGGCACGGGATGTCATCTATTTTACAGAATAATTTACTGTGCAAATATGTGCAGTGGCATGACTTACTGCCTAAGAGACAGGCTTTGTACAGAACACAGAAAAGGTATACTATAAGACATTAGGCAGGGAGAGCCTGAATTAGGCATTATTTTTCTATTAAATTTTTTGGAATTTAAAACAATTTCTACACAAAATTAGAAAATGTAATAAAAGCCTATGAAACCAAATATATTTAAATTTCACTATATTTTACTGGAATAATTCATATTTATTTATTTATTTATTGCAGTACTGGGATTGAACTCAAGACCTTGCACTTGCCAGACAAGCACTTATTCTACTGAGCTATCTCCCCAGCCCCCAAAGTTCAGAAGGATTCTTTTTTTCTTTTTTTTTTTTTGGCTGGCTCAGGATGCCTTACGGGCAAGTCTGGTAAGACATGAGGATCTGGGGATCCAACCACAAGATCCTGAGGCTGACTGCCTTCACTTAAGCAGGCAACTAAACAACTGAGCCAATTTGCAGGCCCCCATTTTTATTTTTAAACATCTCAACTGTTTGATTTTTCTATCATGATACAAAGTCAAACATCCTAAGAGTACCCTAAAAGATTTCCAGACATAGCTCTAAATGAATGAAATGTATTGATTTCCCATTTCATTTCCATAAAAGACACTTAAACATCTGTGTGCATCCAAGTTTTACTCTTTTTGTTAAATATTCCCAAAGTATTCTAGAAGCTAGGTGTAGTAATGCTATGATCAGTGTAATAATAGAAAATGAAGGTGAAACTGGACATTATGGCATATGCTTAGAATCCCACCTGAGGCAGAAGGATCATTAGCTCCAGCCAAACCTGGGCAACCTGTAGGCATTACCAAGACCCTGTCTCAAAACACAAAACAAACCAAACAAACACACAAAAAAGAACTGAAATGTAGCTCAGTGCGAAGGCCCCAAGTTCATTATTGCCCATGACAAAGAAAGGAAAAAGACAGACAGACAAGAGACAGCGACAGCCAGTGAGTGACTGGGAGAGAGAGTGCTATGAATTCAATGCATTCTGGAATGCTAAGAGCTCGCAGGGAGTGTGGTACTTTTGAATACGTTCAAGAGTTTCAGTGCATTCTACATGAAAGGGACAAAATAATCTCTTGCTGAGAGCTATTGCACGACGAGGTTTATTTGCTATGTCAGCACATTTGTTTACCTCACTTGAACAACTCTTTGAGCCTTTGTGAAAGTGTATTCTAAAAATCAGTCCTTGTCCCCCATCTCTTCTTTGATTCCTCCTTGTTCTCTTGAAACGTTTGTGCCTCTTATTTCTCTTTCCTCCTACATTCCTTTCTTTACTTTTCCCAATAAGACTGCATGGGAATCAGTAACACAGAATGGGTAAAATTATAAAATTAAAGTAATTTAATTAAATTGAAAGGACCAGTTACAAGTAGATAAGGATAAAGATGAAAAAGTCTTCTTTTATTTCAAATCTATTCCTCTCATGATTATCCTAGACTTCTGTCATATTTAAGTAGGATAGTACCATTCCATTTGACAGAATACTGTTACATTCTTAGATAATACTTTATCTGTAGCACACTAAAGACCCTGGTGCCCAGGGATAAAAGTGAAATTTTAAGTGTGAAATATTCATATTCAGATCTTCTAACCATAGCTTCACATCCTACTAAGCTACTGATTGTTTTAGAATCACTTTCTAATCATCATACATAAAAATTTTTAGTAATTTAAAAGGGGGGGTTTAATATCATGTATCAAAGTTAACTACTTCATCAGCATTAAGAGACATCAGGTATTGTTATTATTACAGAAGCTTTGCCAAGTTAAAGAAATGTGATTTGAACAAAATAAGCCATAAGAAGAAGAGAGAGATTTGCGTTGGGCTTTGATGACACCTCCTCTGTTTCTTGACAGTGTCATTCTCCTGGAGAAGCTCCCAGAAACTCTTGGGTATTTCTACGTGCTACATGCCTATGACTTGCCATACTACACCATCTCTGTCCCCACTGAGACAATCAACATGTGGACCCAGAAAAAAAGCAAGAACCTTTCTCTGAAAGCTGAAAGCAAGCAACCCCCCCAGTGGGATCAAAATTTGGGTCATTATATGAGCTCAGCCAGGACAGCTTTTCTAAAAGATATTGCTTTCTCATCTGTTTAGCATTTCAAGGCTCACTGATCACTTGTTTAGGTTTCCTTGAGTATGTGCTCTTTCTCTTCTCAAAGGCCCAATCTAGGAGATGGACTGAACTTTCCACCCTTTTACTCACTGTCCTTTCTAACCTCTGGACATATCAATCCATAATTTTATCACTAATAATAATCTTAACTATTTGGCTCAACCAATGTTGCTGTTTTAGAACAAAAATGTGTCTGTTATAGACTTATTTTTTACTCCCTCTTAATTATCAAGCATTTTGGAAGTGCCAGACAATGCTAGCAAATTTTTGATTATAAAAATGTTTATTTTTACAAACTGTCTCAATCACTTTATGCGATAAATTAATAAGCAAATAAGCTATATAAATATACAAATGAAGACCAATTAATTCTGTAAAGCTGGCTACTGGGTTGTTCCATAGTGTAATTTTGTACAAGAAGCAGCATGAAGGGTGGAGAGAGCCTACGGCACAGACAGCACCCTCAGCCTGGGTGCTGGATTATGGTTTCATTGCTGATGAACAATTCATTTTGGAATTCTGGGATTTTTTTCTCAGACTATCCTGACCAAAAGAGACAAATATCTAAAGACAAAGAAAGAAAAGGTATGTCAAAGTATCATTAAGGACTAGCTCACACACAAAAGTTTTGTGTTAAGTCATGAATATGATTTATGGTGATCATAATAATTCTGACAGTCGTAGGTGACAGGATTATCAGACATTTTCATTTGTGAAAACTAACATAGTTGTATTGAAGAGGTTTACTAGCCAATGTGAAATTCTCATAAGGTAGATGTTCCTTGTGAAGTATTCTAGAAAGTACTGTGTTAATGAAAACATTTAAATTAGTCCTAAGCAGATTAGTTTTCTATATCGATGATTAACTGAGCTAAAATTATTAATAAGTAAGAATATTTCATTTTCTTGAAAAGTAGTAATTGAAAGGAAGATAAAAATATCCCAATGAATTGATTTTTCAATACACAGAATGGGAGAGATGAAAAGACTAATTTGATGAAATCAAGTACATGATGAATGCCCCTGTAGTGAGTATTGATAAACATTTTTGAACATTTTCATTCTGTTGATACATAAAGATTCAGCAATAAGTAAGTGAATGGAGCCTCATTTAAAGTAGGTGCTAAAACATATTGATGTAAAAGAGTAAGATTTTTTTTAGTGGTTTGTTCAAAATAAAAGGGAAAGGGAAAGAAAAAAAATATTATGTGTCAAGAAAAACTTAAGATGAAAAACAGCAATAAGAAATCCATAGAAAAATCAGTCTAGAGTAGTACCCATAAGAATTCATAAATTAAACTTTAGGCAAGTTTTGGCAGCTGGTCCAAATTTGTTGTTTAGCTGTTTCTATAAACCTATACCTCACATGCACTAACAGGATTTAGAGACATATGATTCTCAGCTTTGTTTAAAGGTGATGGAATTCTGGATGACATTAATTGCTTATTTTTAAAGTTTCAGACTCTGAAAGAGATTTTTCTTATTCTGTGACATAATCAAAAGTTATCTCATGTTACTTGCATAAGAACTCTAATTATTATTTCAACTGGCCTTATCAACCAATAACAGAAATTTACTTGCTTGTTCCTGACAGTCCGCTTTATGAATTCACATTTCTCATGCTTTAGACAATTGTATTTTGCGTTGCTATTCATATGGAAGAAAGAGAATAGCTGCTTGTGCCCCTCTGTACTTACTTGGGCTCCTATACATAAAATAGCCTTTCAACTCTTGGTTCTTCAGGGTAACACCATTATCTCTCTCTCTCTCTCTCTCTCTCTGTCTCTCTCCCTCTCTCTCTGAGGTCTGATTTTCCACAGTCATGCTATGGTGTTTGAACTTCTCAAGTGTCCAACATCCACCTTTAGATAAAGTCCCAGAACAGCTCAATGAGGCCTAATGGACATCTGGAGGGCTTACTCGTATTTTTTTCTAAGCTAATTAACTATTGAATAAGCACTCTGGCATAAAAATTCATACTTCATATAATTGAAATGAATTCTAAGGGTGTCATGTTGAATTCTTGGCTGTACCCAAATGTTGGTCCCCATATTATCTCCTGAGAACTGATTCAGTAGCTGATAAACTAGAAACATTCCTAAAGAAGGATGTGTATGATACTGCGGAATAACAAACCAATACTGATCTTAGCAGTAAAAAGAATCCAGTTGATGGAATCATACTAAATATGCATGCTTTTTCTCCCTAAGGATAACTTCAAAATATCTAAGTGGCAACTCAGCCATGCAAGCTTTCTTGGTCCTACTGGTTCTTCCTAGATTTTCATAGCTCATTTCTTCCATCTGCCATAATACGTTATTGCCTTAGATTTCAGCTTATGGATACTTATCTTCCTCCTCTCTTTATCTCTCACATGTCCTAATAGGAAGTGGTTAAATGAAGATAAGAATGTGTTTTCCTTTTCCCCAAATACAGCATGAACTTTCACATTTGTATTTCTAAACTTCTTTTCTTTCCAAATGTTTCTCTTCAAAGCAAAGCTCAACCATGAGTTCCCTGTCACTTTCTTTCTTGTCCCCAACATCAGGCCCAAGGATTGTTAGTTGCTCCTTCTTTGGCCTTCCTATAACAACTTACACACATTATTTATCCTTCAAACTACTTTTACAATGTGCTGTTGTCCAAGACAACTTCATGTTTTATACTTCTACGTAAATATATTATTTGGGATAGAACTATTTTTGGATTTGAATTTTCAAATATTCTATCTCCATCAAACTGCAAGCTCTCAAGGTTAAAATACTAAATATATTTTCCAATAGCATCCTATTAATACCTGCTGGGTGGAGGATATATAAAGAGATAGTAACGTGGTCGCATCACCCATGTAGCTAAGTAAGATGACATGCCCACAGCAGGCTCCAGCCTTACCGGTCCATGACACGTGAGGAGCCCCTCTTCCATTCTCTCACACTGGGAGTCACACTCCACGCAGATCGAGCCGTTCTCGAACTCCCGAAACTCGCTGTGAAAATATCAGCTGCGTGAGGTGCTGTAAGCAAACAAGCTGTCAACCTAACAAATGAAGCAACATCTGCTCCAAGTCCTGTTGGCAGAGTAAATCCTGGAGTTTGTTTCTCTACGTGCCAGGAGCATCAGAAACATTTCCCTGTACATTAAGGAGTAAGTTTTCCATTAGGAGAAAAGATCGATGGCAGCCAGATGGCTTTCCTTGCCCTCGCCTGGAATCGACGGCAAACTCATCCTGGAAAGCTCTCCCTTGTGAGATATTCTGGCCCTCTTTAAAAAAAAAAATAATAACTGGGACTCTTCTGATGACACAGCAGAATCATTTTACCTTTGGAATAAAGCTACGTCTGTCTCTATGTAAGAGTTTACTATTCGTTGAAGCATTCCTTTGTAAACTCTGAAACTGCAATTGTATTTTACTTGTTGCTAAGCTACATGAATGTTCTCTATCCTTGTCCTTGAAATCCCAAGACTCCCCAATTTATTTTTGGTGGAGCTTCAAAAACACTTTGATTTTTCTTCTTCTTTTAAAATACCTGCCTTAGAGAATTAGAGAAAATATCTTTTCATGGTAGATTTTATTTTTGTATATTATTGATCTACTATCATAACATTTTTTCAGTCTATCTTCTTTTTGAAGTGATTCTATAGAGTATAAAATTAAAAAGAAATTGATGGCCACGTCTTAAAACTAATTGAGATTTCCTGAGATGATGGTCATTCCTTCCCACATCCTTTCATTTTTCTGTCTGCGTATTATAAAGTTATCAGTACCTAATATTTTTAGCAAAAGTTGACTCCAAATTTTTATTTCAATAACTGTATATATGTAATTTGCAATATATTTAAACCACTTAATTTCAACTAATATACAAGAGGCTGAGGTACTGTGAAAACAATACAGCATATCATATAGGAGTCATTAATAAAATTTGAATACAGTTTTATAATTTTAATTAATTTATTAATTTACACCTTTATATTCTGTACTATCTTTCCAAACCTATAACATTTGCAAATAGAGTAATTATGGATTAATTAGATGATAAAATAAAATATATTTGCCCTAGAGTAAAAAACTTTATTTTTTTTTCTCATTTTAAGACAAAATATCTTAATTGGCATGGAATTCCAAAATGTTAGGTGTATTTTCAATTGGCTAGATTAAGACTTTGCATATTCCAAGGCAATATAATTAAGTTTGAAATCCAAGGCTTCCAAATGAATAGCGTAAGTGTGCTAGGCACAGTTACACGACTTTTCCCTTTTTCAATGTGAGCTCTTAGCTGCTCTACATTAAACCTTTTTAGCGTTTCCTCAAGTTTAAAGTCTGCATTGAAGATGCGCGTTCACCTCTGCACACTACCTTGCCGTGAGCGGCATCGAGTACTCGATAACACACCTTCACTACACAAGGCACAACGGCCTGGTGCGAGCCTGCAGTGAAACTGGAAAGAGAATAGAGAACAATGATTCTAATCAAATTTTATGGCAGCAGTCTGGGCTCTTCAGGCAATAAGTAGCTTGTGTTTGGCCGCTAAAGAGTTTTTCTTCATAAAAGAAGGCCATAATATTTTGGTTGCCACAACACAGGTTATGCTTTTCTTATTTTTTTTTCAAAACCCACTTCCACATCCGTGAAGTTGAGGAGTGTGGTGTAAATGCAGACGCCATCTGTTGCCTGCCACACACTTCAACGCCATAGCTCCTGGCTCTCTCCTTCCTGCCTTCATAATGGTCCCTCCTTGCCGTCTCCCTCGCCTCTTCTGCCATTTATTCTCACTCTCTCCATTATCGCTTTCTTCTTCCATGTCCCTAACGATACCATGGTGACTCTGTCAGAGTTCTCCTTTCATTTGAATGTGATTTAACAAAGCATGTTCTTTTGAGCATCAGCTCTGCATACTAACTTTTGCTTCATTTGTTTTTGCTGTGGTGCATATGTTAGATTCCTCACTCTTACAATCAAGAGAGAACACTGTAATATCTGGTTTTCCTAAATTCTAAATTCTAGTGTCAACATTTGTATTTTTACACCTTAAATTCTTTAACTTCTCTGAGCCTCAGTTTTCTAAATATCCTCGGTAAAGGGGTAAATATTTTATTGCAAGGTTATGATTCTTAAATATGAAAATGCTTGTAAAGATCTTAGAATAAGATACTCCTTGATGTTTCACTATTGATCTTAATGTTTCAGACATGTGGCCAGGTAGGAAAAGTTTTAAAGTTTCATTGGACCACTTCCTCATTGCAAGAGATCCATCTTGTTGTCCCTTTCCATCCATCCTTTAATGGTCTCTTCATTTGTATTTCTCCTCACTCAGATTAGTGGGATAGCAAGTGGGATTTAAACTTGTTTGTCTGGTATATTTCACTCAGCATTATATTTTCCAGGTAGATGTTTCACATCTGTCATTCTTCATAGTGGATATATCTCATTTCGTTCCTGCACTCATCTACTGATGGGTCTATAGGCTGCTCTCAGGATGCAGCTGTCACGCACTGTGCTGCCCTGAACACTGGCGTGCATGCGTCACTGTGGTACAATGAGGTGAGCCCTCAGGAGAAGACTCCTAGAGGGGACTGTTGCCTTATCTGAAATGTCTAATTCTATTTCTTTGAGAAGTCTCCCTTCTGATTTCCACAATGGCTTACTCGCCTGCATTCCCACCAACAGTGTAGGAGGGTTCCTTTGTACAGAAAACAGCCTCTCATAAGTGAGTACCAACACAATTCAGTAATACAAGAAACATGTGTTTTCTGTTCATTAACCGCAAGGCATCAGCTTTTGTCATTGTTTGATTTCCTACTGATGGTCATTCTTTCTGGAGTAAGAGGGAATCTTAGCAGTTGTTTTAATTAGCATTTCTCTAATGGCCAGAGATGTTGAACATTTTTTTCATCTATTTGTTGACTATTTGTATTTCTTCCTCCGTGAAGTGTCTGCTCATTTCCTAATAAACTTTTAATGTAACAGTTAATAGAACAAAAGTCTACTATGATTTATTTCAGTGACATCAATTGCTGCATGTACAAAGCTATTTTGATGTAGGGTATTTTATGTACAGAAAACAGCCTTTCATAAATAAGTACCAGCACAATTCAGTAATACAGGAAGCATGTATTTTCTGTTCATTAACTGTAAAACTTGACTTACCATGTAAAATTATAAGCTGAAATAGCCCAGAAAATGATTAAATTCTTACATCTTTATATTTAGCTTTTAATTTTAATTTTCCCCATAATTTCATGAAGGGAATTTATTTTGGTCATCTTTTAAAAAAAGACATATGCAAAATATCATTACTATAGATTTCTATATTACTATAAATATATTTTTACCTTGATATAAATTGGAAAACTGCAATGCTATTGGGGATTATAGAGATAAATGTTAAAATGAGATAATTCCTGAGGCGCAAGAAGAAATAAAATGAAAAACTCCAAAACTGTGCTTTCCAAACTGTAGAAAATGCTTTCAGTTTATCAATAGGACAAAGCTTGACTCAGGGACACCCTAAAAATGCATTACTGTGCTAATAAAAGGCAACTGTAATGTATAAAGTGGCTTTAGGAGTGTATGAAATGCCATGCAGTAAGGTGGATGCTAGGCTTTATTACTGCCAATACGATTATTGCAGTACCAGAGGGAATTTAAGACACTTGAGTTAAAATATTGCTCAAGTGATCTAAGAAGTGGCAGAACACTGTTTACAACCTCTATAATCTTCCTATAGGGCTAAGCAGTTGTCAAAGACATAGAAACATGGGCTTTTCCTGGAACGCTAACAGACATGGAGCTGGAATGGAAAGAAGGTGGTAATGGTTTACCTATAGATGGAAAATATAAGGAAAGCATGCAGGGAAAGCCTCACCAGATGACTGATGGAAGGGAAGATTACTTAAAACAATCTTCCATGTCAGAAAACAAATATATATTTTTAAAAATTCTAAATATAAATTGCTATAATTTTTCAAGGACTATCTAAGTAAACATTTAAAACATGCATATAGTAGTCTTTATATGTGGACTCCTTAAATTTATTTATGGACTAACTAAAACACATTTATTTCCCCTGAAAGCAAGTCTATATGTCGGATCTTTATGCATTAAGAGTTCCCTGATATATCCTGACTTGCATATGCTTTCTGAAATTCTAGCCATTTCTTTTCATCATTTTCAAATCTGCTCTCCTCAAGGCCTCACAGCTCACGAAGACAGGGACACCTGCCTGACTCCTTACCCGTCATAGAGGTTGCATGATTCTATGCAGATGCGGCCCCTGCTGAAGCGGCGGCACGACAGGCACTGGTCTGGCCCTGGTCCCCAACAGCCATCGCTAGAACACAGGGGGTTGCACACCATTCCTTCTGCAGCTGCAAAACACACCAAGATTGGGGCAAATGAAACAGAAGATGTGTCAAGAGGTGCACCAGTTCTTAGGGACTCTAGATAGCTTTAAATAAATGGGTTTAGAAGAGGCCAGTGCCAAACACCTGTGGTTGTCTCCCAGGCACCCTGGCCCAACCCATCTGTAACTTCCTCCATGCTGCAGAGCTTACCTACTCAGCATGTACATGATGTGGTATTTTTCATAATTCTGAGCAAAATCCAAGTGTCTGTATGGAAACTGCAGAGGACAGGTGACTCAATTGAACTTCTGAGCTAAGAACCAGTCCAGGGCCAGCCAGATAGTTCAGTGGACTAAGGTGCCTGCTTAGGAAGAGTGCAGCAGCCAGGGTTTGTTCCACCCAGGGTGGAACGTGCCTGTAATTCCAGTGCTTGGGAGGCTGAAAACAAGAGAATCACTACAAGTCTGATCAACGTAGTGAGACCCTGTAAGCCCTGTAGACCCTGTCCTAAATACATTAAAATAAATAAGTAACCAAGCCATATATTTCCCAAGCCAACATTTTGATCCACTGATAAAAATACCAGATACTTTGGATGCAATTCCATCTGAGGGCTTCATAAGTAAACAAAAGAAATAATGCTATCAGTAAAGAAATAAAAATCACAAAATTTAAAAATGAAGAGAAAATAGGGCTGGCCAATAAGCTCAGTGGATTAAAGCACCTGCAAGCAGGTGCAGGATCCCCGGGCCTGCTGTGCCAGCTCTGCCCCTGGGGCACGCTGAGAAGACAATTGAGACTGGGCATGGTGGCATGCACCTGTAATTCCAGCTCTTGGGAGGCTGTAAACAAGCAGATCACTACAAGTTTGATCTAGTAGTGAGAACCTGAACACCTTTTAGACCCTTCCCTAAAATAAAAAAAAAAAAAGGAAGAAAGATAGATAGACAGAAAGAGAGAGAAAAAATATAGAAGGTAAGAAGAGAAGACAAGATTAGAAACACAATAAAAGGTTTTTCAGGCCTCTGCTACAGACTGGCAAATCCCAGCTTGGTATTAGTCAACTCAGCACAGGAAAGGAACAGTTCACTGAGAAGCAGAGTATAGAGATTAAAATAGTAACAGGAGTCCTCAGTCTGATCACTGTTTTATTTTGAAGTTAAAATAGCTAAAGAGTTGGCGAACAGTTTTTTCTTAAGATTGATTTATTTATGTACTTGGTACAGGGTCTCCCTACACAGCTCAGACTTGTAATGATCTTATCTCAGCCTCTCCAGCGCTGGGATTACAGGTGTGTGCCACCATGCCAAGTTTCAGGGGCTGGCACAGCATGCGGTACCAGGGATTGACCCCATGTCCTTGTGTTTGCCAGGCAGGAGCTTCGACCACTGAGCTATCTCCCCAGCCCAGGATTGTGTTTTACACTTGCCACTTAAGTTCACCATTTCTGTTCTCCTTTCTCTCCAGTGACACATATATTATTATTTATATTATGTCCCACAATTTTATTAAAGAGTTGTGGATATAGATGTTGAATAACAAGTGTCGAGAAAGACTTCAAATTTTATTCAAGCATCTGTTTTATTATTCAAGGCTTTTGAAACTCAGTCACATGTATGTAGTTTTCATAAAACATTAAGAATTCTCAAAACAGTAAAAACATAAGTCCAAAAATCTCACCATATACAACCTTGAAACAGGACAGACCCACAATATTCCTTTTCCTGTCTCTTGCTTTCATTTACCACCCCCTTCTTCTTGAACATCCACCTACCCGAGAGACATCTTAGCAGTAACTGGCATGTCATGACAAGCTGCCCGTGTTCAGAATACCACAATGACAGGCGCTCCCATTATGAAACCACTGTTACAAATTACCATCTGCAGTGCAGTAGCTTTGTTCACAGGTATCAGTATATATAGTTAGTCAGGGTGAGAATCTTTCCAATTAACTCCTAGAATATTAAAGAATCTTCTGAATATTCTCTGGATCATTGCCTTGCTCATCCGTGACTCATCCACATGGCTGCACTGATAAAGGTTCTACAATCTGAGGTACAGGATCTCAGGATAAATCCTGAGGGCATTTCACTGACCTTCTCAGACCAAAAAGCTACAACTCTTGTTGCATAGGTCCTGCTTTACCTTGGTCTTAACCATCCAGTAGAAAAGTATGAAGACAAAATATAGGAAGTAAAGCCATGTTGTTATGTTGAGCTGTGGGGGACTCAGGTCAATAATTTCTGACATTGCCAGTTAAACAGAAGACCCAATGCTATTATGGGATACTGGACTCTTTTAGAATATTTTGCTGAGTTTACACACCTATAATATTCAATAACGGAACTTAAAAGAAATGGGGTATAACTATGAATGTCCATTTTGTATCTGTGAATTCAAAGTGGTTGGGATAGATATATAGTTGCATTCTCTTAATGAATAGAATGATTTGTTCTAATGGTGTTTGTAATTAGGATCACAAGTCTGCATCTTGTACAGCAATTAACCACTAAGAAGAATATATGCAGTGTATTATTTGTTGAAACTGTACTTTCGATTTGATTTGAAACTGTCTCATTGCTATATGTTTATCAATAAAACTTTGAAAATAAAAAAAAACAGTAAAAACATTGAAAGCCTACTTGTGACCCTCTATGTCACCAGCTTTATTTACTATAGGATGTGGGATTAGATGACAAGAGCACTTATGAGCCGGACTGAGATAGCAAGGGCTTGTTAGTATAACACAATGACAAAACATGCACAAAACACAGGAAATTTCACCAACCTAAATCACACTTGCCAGTCACCCACCTGCCTCGGGGATGCTGACTAGTTGTAAAACAGTTGAGAGTACTTTATATACTCTACCTGGTTATGCAATTATCTTTATCTACCTATCTGATTAGAAAATCTTTCTCCCAGTCTGTAGCCTGGACTTTTATCTTGTAATAGGAAATGTTGCAGAGAAAATGTTTAATTTTGCTGAAATCAAATGCTTTAATTTTTCCCTGTATGGATTGCGATTTTGATATTAAGTCAAAGTTTCCTTCACCTACCTTTTGATGTCAAATAATCTCTTCTAATTAATTTATTTTCATTGTACTGAGGTACTTAGTGCTCCCTGCACATCAGATAAGCACTGAGCTAGTATACCCCCCAATATTTCCTAATTTTTAAATAAAAACTGTCTAGCTTTACATTTCACACTTATTAAGCTCATGCTTATTTTTGTCAAAATTTGCAGAAGATGTCAAAATTACATTAAAATATAATTTTGGCCAATGAACATTTATTTGCTCCAGTACACATCAGTTGGGCAGATGTGTCAGTTGTGGGCTTTTCAGGATTCTCTATTCTATTTTGTCAACTGATATGCTTACACTAGCCCCAGGACCACAGGGTCTTACTGTCTATGTAGTTAGGCTTAAAATGATGTCAATGGAATGTTCACATTTACTTTTTTCTTTTATCTAAATTTGCATCACCTAGATAGCTTGTTTACTGTTCATTATCAATTTCATAAAAGTCTTATTTATATCTCAAAAGCCTTGCTGTGATTCTGATACCTATCACACTAAACATGCGTGTCAACTTAGAATTGATATGATGAGTTGTCTGATTCCTGAAGATAGTGTGCTTCTAAATATAAAGTATGTTCCAACAACACAATGAATGTTTTCATTAAAGCAACATGTCACCGTGTTTTACATACATTTCCCTTCGCTTTGAACACACCTGTCCCATCGTTCTGGACACCGCAAAGCCCTGCAAGTCCTCTGCCACGAGTGTCTGTAGGAGCACTCTCTGACTATCGTGATGTCCTGAATTAGAAGGCTTGCATTTTGTGGGCATTTTGACTTTGGGGATGAGTTGCAAGTCACCAAGGTCTAAGACCTAATTATTCAAGTATAGGAGGACACACTCTCTTAGTTCCATAGCCTGCCTCTCTGCTGGATGACGAGCACCTCCTGACCTGCCTCAGAAAGTGGCACGATTGTGATCAGTGCACTTGTTCATCACCAGGTTTCTAAAATATTTTTGTGCGTGCTGTGCTGGCCTTGCCCCCAGGGCATGCTGAGACAGTGATTAAGACTGGCGTGGTGGTGAGCGCCTGCAATCCCAGCGCTTGAGAGGCTGAAAACTGGAGGATCATGACAAGACTGATCTACGTAGTGAGACCCTGTACACCCTGAAGGCTGTGTCCTAAAATTCATTAAAAATTAAAAAAACAAAAAAAAAATTTGGTAAGCTTATTGAAAATGTTATCAGACAGCCATGGCCTCTGTGAGCATTGGTAGTTTTTTTCTTCCTGTCTGATCTTTATGCCTTTTTCCTTATTATGATTTTTAGAACTTCCAGTGCTATGCTGAAGAGGTGACATTGTTTCCTGGTTCTCAGTCTACTCAGAAAGCATTAATTCTTCCATGACTACACTGGAAAGTAGTCATGGAAGACTATAAGATTTTGTAGATCACCTATATCAAGTTTTCTAAGATTTTTAAAATATTTTTAAAATGTAAAAATTCAAAAAACTTATAATAATTTTTCAAATGCTATGTTCTGTAGCAAATGATTTGATCATGTGGCATTTCTTCAGATTATCAACATTGCATATTTTATCATTTATTTTCAGATAATAAAACCTTTTAATAAAGCAATAATCCTATTTGGCAGTGTAATTCTTTTTGCATATGAATGAATGTTACTTGCTGTGTCTTAAGTTTTTGCTTCTTCATGTATTTTTGAGACTGACAAACCTTTAATCTTTTACCATTTCTATCCCTCTTTTATGTTCTCCTTTTGTTCCTTTTCCTCATGGTATTCTAGGTTCACACATATGTACCGATCTTCCAAACCATCAAAGTAAGGATGACCAATGATTTCACAAGTGCGCAGAGCCCAGGCTCTGCAGTGCCAGGTTTTAAGTTATTCTTCCTTGACTCTTTTACCATCGCTCAGGATAAAGTCCTGCACCAGAGCCCACTGCTTTGATACCACTTTCTGATGCTGCTGAAGTCTGC